CACGCACTTCCTGAGAAGATAATGGACCATTTGCAATATAGGACATTTGCTTAAAAAAACCCAAAAAGCAAACCCACTGCCCTCATGTTGATTCCAACTCATAGCAACCCTATAGGTAATTTTATAGGACATCACAAAAATCATCTATTGAAACAAAATATATTAAATAGACTATTATAGCGTAATTTAGCAAATTAAATACATTTTCATTAGGATTATTTCTTTCCTGTTTAACTCTCAAACTGGGGTTCAAATGTAAAAAAAAAATCCTCAAACTTCACTACTTCATATTCCTATTAATTTAACAAAGATTAAGGCAAACTATCTTTCAAAACTAGATCACACATGAGAACATTAGAAATTATGGTTTGATTTTTAATATTCACATTTTAAGAGAAGATATTACTAAAACTTTCAAAAGTTTGAAAGTCATTTAGGTTGGTATGCATTTTACTATTTGTATTCTAAGATTATTACAGTTTCATCTATTTGAATCGAGTTTTTTTTTTTTTTTACACAATGAGCTTTCTTTACACTAAATATCTCCATGAGGATGATAAGCTCATGCTCATAAGAGGGTCAGGCTAAATTATTATTCACATGTTACCTGCTGTGCAACATTAAACAGACATGAAATACACCTTCTGAAAGGGGAGATTTGGTTTTTTGTTTTTTTTTTTTTTGAAGAAACAGGAAGTACCTACTCTTTGCTGCCACAACTCCAAAAGTTTACCAATTAGAGTTTAACAGTGAAATCATGCATACAATAAATTTCTAAGTTTTTATATTCTGTCTTTGAATATTTATAGATCAAGATTATACAGAACCATCTCAGAGTTAATGTCTTAAAAAATACATGTTATATACAAACCCATAAAATTAGTTAAATATTCAATAATTTCATATGCTTTAATGATTAGCAATTCCTGAATTAAAAAAAAGAATCGCAAAGCTTGTTTTACTAGAAATTAAACACAATGTGGAGAGGTATGTTCAACTTCAGAACTATATAAAACTTAAGTAACAAATCTTCAGCACAGTATTTTAAAGGCAATCTATGGATAAAAATAAAAAACAACACTGCACTGGCACAATCATCTTAACGATGAATCTGACCTTGACTGTCACTACTATCTTCGAACTTAGAAAGCACCTTAAAGTTCCCTTTAATCAGCTATATCACAGGGTTTCTCTAGGAGGCATGGGACAGTTACAGAACTTTAATTTTCAAAAACAGAAATAACTTAAAAATTCTTCCTTCTTCTGTTTTCTCTTCCATCTGTCTATAATAAAGGTAACCTCTATCCATATCTCTAGAAGATAATTTTATTCCATTCAATATATTGAGTTTTATATGTGAATCAGGTATTTTTGAAACAAAGCTTTGCCCTGAAACAATAATAATTTCTCATTTATGAACATTTTTATATTCCTCATACTAATAATGTAATAACTTTATAATCATTACCTAATGAATCTACTTTAATTAAGCCCATTTTACAGATGGAGTAGCTGAGACTTAGATCAAGCCCAATTGCCAAAGTAAAGCTCATGTAATTATTAAATGGAATAACTAATTCAAATCTAGGTTGTCTGCCTCTGAAGTTCATAAACTATCATCTTAAAAATAAAGATTCAAAACTTCATTCCAGATCAAACAAATCATAACCTCCAAGAGTCATGCCCCCAAATTTGCTGAAGCCAGGGGTTTGGGAACCACTGCAGCAGCACTATGCTACTCTACCAAACTGTTTCTTGTTTCTGTGAATCAGTCATGTACTGAAGCCTTCTACTAGACAGTGCATGATAGTCAGTGCGGGGGAGGAGTCAAAGGAAATAGAAAACATGGCTCCTGCCCTTGACAAACTTAAAATTTAGAACTTCTTGACACCTTATTAACCACAGTTTCATCTCTATTGTTGTTAGTTACCCATTGAGTCAATTCTGACTCATGGCAACTGCATGTGTGCAGAGCAGAACTGCTCCATAGGATTTTCAAGGCTGTGACCTCTCGGGAACAGATCATCAGGCCTGTCTTCCAAGGAGCCTCTGGGTGGGTTCGAACCACCAACATTTTGGCTAATAGTTGAGTGTTTAACCATTTGTGTCACCCAGAGACTCCTTGAGAAATTTAGAATTAAAAAATATACCACCCATAATATTAAGAGAATATAAAGCAACTGGTTTGGGCATATTTAGTTGGGATAACTTTGTGGAAGCAGGGTGCTTTGATTAGAGTTATGGTGGAAGGGAGAACAGAAATTCACAGAGAAGAAAAGACTATTTAACCTGAGTACAAAGGTTTGGCAGCAGAAATAAGACTGTAGAATAGTTTAACCCTTCTTTATTTCAAAATGCAATTTTAAATATTTCAACTCAATTCTCTTTCAGACACACACAAAATTACTAACCTTCTACATTCATGGCTTTTCTCAGAACCTGAAGCTTCTTCTGTCTCTCTCGGATTCGGTCCAAAGCATTTGATATTGCCGAGGAGGTAGGCAATTCTTGTGTGTGGTATATTGCATCCGTTTTCTGAGGGCCAAAGATATCCAAGGCTATGCTTCCATCTGAGTATCTTGCCTCCTTTCTTCTAGGAGCAGTTGAAGTCTGCACTGTTACTGCCTCAGGGAGACAGCGTTGGTATCTGCCAGTCTCTCCAGAAGGGGACTCTCTGTCAGTCGTGCAAAGCAAGTCCATGGATGAAGCCCAAATCTTCTTCTTGGGAAGTACATCAATGCTTGAGGTAACTTTTTTTTCTATACTAGCTTTAAACTGGCAAGGGGAGCAGGTATTTTCAGAATCTTCTTGTCCAGAATTATTATCTGGTGAAATGTCCTGGACATAATCTTCTTCATCTTGTGTGTCTCTGATGGACAGAAATCCCATAGATTTACTAAGCCCTTTGTTAAGAAAGGTCTGATGAGAGAATGGAGACTTGTGTATATCTAGTACATCAGAAGTAGAGCTTCTTCCTGGAATGATAAGAATCTATCATGTATGCACAGAATTTTTAGAAAATAAACTGGAGTGTAATCTCACTATTAACAATGAAAGTGGTGACAAATTTCTAAATGGAGGATCAGAGATGAAATGGGATAGTGGTGGTGGTAATGGAAAGAGATGCTGTGTTTGTGTAACTTTCATAGATCAATGTCTCTTTTCTAATAAAATCAATAATATCGAACTTACTTTCTTTAATGGTATTGTGATATTCATTATCTATGAAATGGTTTGACCTAATAATAGAATGTTTGGTGCACTCCTTTAACTTCTAAAGGTATAGCTGAAATAATGTGTTACAATTCAATATAAAGCCCTGGTACATTTGGTGTTTTATATAAACATGCTTAGACAAGGAACATAAGCTGCTATATTCTAGATGGAAAAAAAGACTGTCATTTGGAATCCGTAAGTACCAAGGTTTTATTATGATTAGTTTCCAGATAATTTGTTTGTGTATAAAATGTTATGTAAGAAACCATAATTATTTCCATAGCAGACCATCATGAACTAAAATAGCTTTTCCTCTAGAATATAATGTATCAATACTTATCAAACAGAATAAAGCACTAATTCTTAATTAGTCTTTAGTCCCTCATATAGTTAAAAACCAGTAAGCCAGTCTAATTTTTTAAAGCAACAGTCTGTAAATTAATTTGATATACCAAAAACTGCCCACCCAGAAATCCATTTTGTGAATCCATAGGTTAAACAGAAAATCATATATGTGGCTCCACCACTGAAAAAAGAAATGTAGAAAAATACTTTATAGTTACTAACCTAATAGTCCATAAACATGTAGATTTCCTGTACTACCTCTGTGAACTCTTTTTTTGATAACCTACTGGCTGTAGATATAACTAAAATTTCCTAGTAATAATAAACTGTTTATTCATTCATTTGAAGAGGTCAATTGCCTCTTCAATACATCAGGTTAAAAGTCATAAGCTTTAATTCTATGACTACAAATTTTACCTTAAGAAAGGTTAACTCATTTCAGAATGCAATCAATATTTTGCTTATTTGAGAATAGATTAAATCACTGTGCTTTTCTTATACTTCTTCCTCCTAAACATGGATCTACTTTAGTGCAAATAAGGATAACATACATATTTGGAACATCTCATAAAAAGAACACTGAGAAATACAACACACCACAACCAGCCACATGAACATCATAGACTCTAGCTTCTAATCTAATTTGAAAATTGATAAACAGACATATGTATTACAGTATTTTATCGGTAAGCTACATTCTTAAACACATTCTAAAACTCATTAATATAAAATTTTATGGAATAATAGAGAACATAGATATATTCTTGAAAACTGATGGAATATTGTTATGGACTGAATTGTGTCCCCCAAAAATATGTTGTAAATCATAACCTGTGGTTATAATCCCATTTGGGAATGGGTTGTCTTTGTTATGTTATTGAGAGACGACTAGTGTAGGGTGCATCTTGAGCCAATCTCCTTTGAGATGTAAGAGATTAAACCAGCAAGCGAACAGACAGAGACGGGGGAGAGATGCCAAGACACATGAAGATAGCCCAAGAGCAGAAGTTCAAAGAGACAAGGACTTTCCCCTAGAGCCAACAGAAAGAGAAAGCCTTCCCTTAGTGCTGGCATCCTGCATTCAGACTTCTAGCCTCCCAGACTGTGAGAAAATAAATTTCTGCTTGTTAAAGATACCCACATGTGGTATTTCTGTTATAGCAGCACTAGATAACTAAGATAGAATCTGATAACAAGAATTGGGGGCGCTGCTCTAGCAGATTCCAACAATGTAGAAGTGGTTTTGGAATTGGTAATGGGTGAAGGCTGGAAGAGTTATAAGGTGACTAATAGTAAAAGCCTAGATTGCCCTGAAGAGACTGTTCGTAGAATTATGGATGTCAACTCTGGTGAGGGCTCAAAAGAAAGTGAGGAGAGCTATAGAGAAACTCTCTATCATCTTAGAGAATACATATGGTGCCAGCACAGAATGTAACTAGAAATGGGGACATTAAATGTGCTTCTGGTAAGGCTTTAAAAGAACATGATGAACACGTGACTGGACAATTGCAGTGGCAAAGAACTTGTCTGAATTATGTTAAAATGTTTGGTGGAAGGTAAACTTATAAGTGAAGAACTTTAATATCTGGCTGAGGAGATTTCTAAGCAAAACCTTAAAGGGGCTGTGTGATTTCTCCTTGCTGCTTATGGTAAAATGCAAGAGGAAAGGGATGGACTTAAAAATGAACTGTGTGAAATGAAAACAAAACTTAAAGATTTGGAAAATTCTGTTGTACAAACTAAGGACATGTGTACTAGAATTTCACTAAGGATGTGGTTACACAATCTTTTGTTAAAGAGATTAAGCCTGTGACTGACTGATCTAACCAATTAACACAGCAGAAAACCCATCAGCTTAGACTGAGGGGGACACAGAAAGAACAAAAGGAATAAAAAAAAAAAAAAAGAACGAAAGGAAAGAATGCCATCTGTCTGTTGGTATTCTACAGTCAGGAAACAAGCCAAAGGAGCTACATCTGTTTTCCTCCAAGAAAAGAACCATCCCTGGAGCGGCTCAGAGATCAGCAGAACTGTTGGAAGGGGCACAGAAATCAGAGCTGCCTTGGTCTCAAAAGGTAGGGCCATGGCCTCTGGGGCGTCAATAGGTAGAGACATGGCCTTCTCAGGTTTCAAAGATCAGATCTTTACCAACTCCATTCCACAGTGTGGGGCTGACCAAGAGGATGAGGCCACTGCCCAAAGCTGAGGGGGTGGGGCTGCAACTCAGATGGACTAGGAGAATGGGGCTGCACAAAGTCAAGGGAGCAGAGCTGCCATCCAGGTGGGCTTGGAAGGTGGAGCTAAGCCCAGGGTTGAGGGGCCTCCACCCAAAATCCAGAGAGCATGGCCAACACCCAGAGTCTGGAGGGTGGAGCCATTGCCCAGATGGTCTCAGAGAACAGAGGATTATTTTCAAGCCTTGAGAGCTAAGGTAAATTGTTCTGCTGGGTTTTGGACTCACTTGGTGCCTGTTAATTCCTTCTTTCCCTCTACTTGCTCCCATTTGTAATGGAAATGTCTACCTTGTGCCTGGTCCACCACTGCACCTTGGAAATAGATAACCTGTAGTCTAGATTTCACAAGTTCACAGATGAAGAGGAATTTTGCCCCAGGATGAAATACACCCAAAGTCTCACCCATATTTGATGTAGATGATTCAGAAGACGAGATTTTGGACTTGGAGTTGATTTAAAACTTTTAAGATGACATGATGGGATAAATGTGTTTTGCATGTGGGAAGGACATGAATTTGGGGGGGGCGAATGGGTGGAATTTTATGGATTGAATTATATCCCCCCAAAATATGTGTTGTAAATCATAACCTTTCCGCCTGTGCAGGAGCCCTGGTGGCACAGTGGTTAAGAACTTGGCTGCTCACCAAAAGGTTGGCAGTTCAAATCTACCAGCAGCTCCTTGGAAACCCTGTGGGGCAGTTCTACTCTGTCCTATAGGGTCACTATGAGTCAGAATCGACTTGAAGGCAATGGGCTTGGTTATAAGTTTATGGTCACCCACTTTGGACACAATGTTTAATGGTAAGTTCATTCACTTTCTACATTGACTGTTGAGTATTTTCCCCATTCTTCAAATTTCCCACCTTAAATCTCATCTCTTTTAGCTGATGTTTTTGCCTTATACTCCACCAAGAAAAAGGAAGCATCAGGAGAGACAGCTTTCTCGTCTTTCCATGCCTAAGTCTACAAATCAACCTGTGTGTCCAAATCTAGATGACTGCATGGATTGGCCCCCCTTCTACTTTCCCCGTCCAACTATTCACCACTCAGCAGCCAGAATTATCCCTTAAACGTAAGCTGCATGATGTCACTCCCTGGTCTAATATGTTTTAATGGCATACTATTGCGCTTTAGTTCACTGTTGAGGCTAGTGTATACTGCCTAAGGCTCAATTTGCTCTGTCATTATAAGCTTGAAAATTATAAGAAGTAAATTAGAATTTCATTATTACTTACAAAAGATGATTTTGAGTCATAATTAAGGTCATTTCTGGGCTGCCAACAGAACAAAGAAAGGGATACTGAAATAGGAAGAAGAACAAGAAAGAAAGAGGGGGTAGTAATATTTCTGAGGAAACTGGGGAAAAAGTTGAGGAAAATGGGGTGAGATAAGGTACATGGTGATGTGTGTATACTTGTCAGAGATGGGCCTAAAGTAAAATGATAAAACTACAATCCACAAAAGCATAAAAGACTCTGTGGAGGAAAGTGGAAGGAAGCAGCAGGAAAGAGATGTTTTTAGGTAAGTGGTTTTTCCAGTGGATCTATTAGCCTAGAACTATCTCCATTTGGTTTTTGGAGGGAAAAGGAGACACATCTTTATAGGTACATTGTGGAAAGGTGGATCTCACCATTCTTAAAACAAATATTCCTAACTGACAGAAGTCTTACTGCATCTTGTCATATTAATGATGCTCACTATCTTCAACTGCATAGCTGGACACATAATTGCCTGATTAATACTTTATAGGTTGAACTTTGGCAAAAGGGATTTCTTTATGTAAAATAAAACAATATGTAATACTTTTATGATAATTTAGTTATGACAACTATAATTCTTTCTAAATAAACTGATGGCATAATATAGTATTGTGGTTGCTTCATGTTGGTAAAGCGCTAAGAAAAAAATTCATTAATCTGCAAATTCAAAATGACACTTCGAATATAGAACTGGCCACACAAGTGAAGAAAAACATGGAGTTCTAGACGCATATTTAGATGCTTAAATTTGCTGCACCAGTGGAAATCACGAACTGTTGTTAATACCAGTGTCAATTATCTTATTTTAGCCTAGATAAAATGCAATTCCTTCAACTGCTTTCCAGAAGATCTTTCTAAATATGTATCTAAGTATGTAACTGTTTTACCTAACGGGTAATAATATTGAAATAATTAAGTACA